AAATACAATGTTGCCATTTGTAGATTTTATATATATATATATATATATGTGTGTGTGTGTGTGTGTGTGATATCATTGTAACATGATATTTTTCAGCATTTATGAATATTAACATTAGGTTACAATATATATAATAAATACAGGGGAAAAAGACATAACATACAGGTACCGGTGGTGATGTCACCGTATGCAATGGAAAAGGTTTTCACACATACAGTACGTGCTGCTTTTGCACTGAAGATGGTGAAATGATAAGACGTCACTTTCAAGATAGCACCAGCAATGGTAAAAATAACCAACTCACTCATGTATAAGGTGAGAATCCTCAACACAATAACAGGAAGTTACTTATGAGCAAAAGCAAAAGTAGCATGACATTTAGGAGCCAGAGTGGGAAGTACAAAACTGGTGGCTTTTATGATAGACGTGCATCCTAACCTTCAACTTTTTTTTGCAACCTTAGTATCTTATTGCTAGATGTCAAGTTGTTTTGATCATTAAGAAGTATATTTCTATTCTTGTTTAGAGTTATAGGGTTTGGGCTATTATTAATTACATGAAGATTCGTTCTACAAAGTACACAGCCTTTCCATATTAAGGTGCTCAATTCTCAGTAATGTAAAATGTTCAAAAGTATTTTTCAAGTCTATTTACAGTGGGGCAAAAAAGTATTTAGTCAGCCACCGATTGTGCAAGTTCCCCCACTTAAGATGATGACAGAGGTCAGTAATTTGCACCAGAGGTACACTTCAACTGTGAGAGACAGAATGTGAAAAAAAAATCCATGAATTCACATGGTAGGATTTGTAAAGAATTTATTCGTAAATCAGGGTGGAAAATAAGTATTTGGTCACCTCAAACAAGGAAAATCTCTGGCTCTCACAGACCTGTAACGTCTTCTGTAAGAAGCTTTTCTGTCCCCCACTCGTTACCTGTATGAATGGCACCTGTTTGAACTCATCATCTGTATAAAAGACACCTGTCCACAGCCTCAAACAGTCAGACTCCAAACTCCGCCATGGCCAAGACCAAAGAGCTTTCGAAGGACACCAGGAAAAGTATTGTAGACCTGCACCAGACTGGGAAGAGTGAATCTACAATAGGCAAGCAGCTTGGTGTGAAAAAATCAACTGTGGGAGCAATCATCAGAAAATGGAAGACATACAAGACCACTGATAATCTCCCTCGATCTGGGGCTCCACGCAAGATCTCATCCCGTGGGGTCAAAATGATCATGAGAACGGTGAGCAAAGATCCCAGAACCACACGGGGGGACCTGGTGAATGACCTGCAGAGAGCTGGGACCAAAGTAACAAAGGTCACCATCAGTAACACACTACAACGGCAGGGAATCAAATCCCGCAGTGCCAGACGTGTTCCGCTGCTGAAGCCAGTGCATGTCCAGGCCCGTCTGAAGTTTGCCAGAGAGCACATGGATGATACAGCAGAGGATTGGGAGAATGTCATGTGGTCAGATGAAACCAAAGTAGAACTTTTTGGTATAAACTCAACTCGTCGTGTTTGGAGGAAGAAGAATACTGAGTTGCATCCCAAGAACACCATACCTACTGTGAAGCATGGGGGTGGAAACATCATGCTATGGGGCTGTTTTTCTGCCAAGGGGACAGGACGACTGATCCGTGTTAAGGACAGAATGAATGGGGCCATGTATCGTGAGATTTTGAGCCAAAACCTCCTTCCATCAGTGAGAACTTTGAAGATGAAACGAGGCTGGGTCTTCCAACATGACAATGATCCAAAACACACCGCCCGGGCAACAAAGGAGTGGCTCCGTAAGAAGCATTTGAAAGTCCTGGAGTGGCCTAGCCAGTCTCCAGACCTCAACCCCATAGAAAATCTGTGGCGGGAGTTGAAAGTCCGTGTTGCTCGGCGACAGCCCCAAAACATCACTGCTCTCGAGAAGATCTGCATGGAGGAATGGGCCAAAATACCAGCTACTGTGTGTGCAAACCTGGTAAAGACCTATAGTAAACGTTTGACCTCTGTTATTGCCAACAAAGGTTATGTTACAAAGTATTGAGTTGTATTTTTGTTATTGACCAAATACTTATTTTCCACCCTGATTTACGAATAAATTCTTTACAAATCCTACCATGTGGATTCATGGATTTTGTTTTCACATTCTGTCTCTCACAGTTGAAGTGTACCTCTGGTGCAAATTACTGACCTCTGTCATCATTTTAGGTGGGGGAACATGCACAATTGGTGGCCGACTAAATACTTTCTTGCCCCACTGTATAGTTAACTAAAAGCAGCATTTCCAATTACTTTGAGCTTGTGTATGACGTTTATCTGCAGTTGTTGAAGTTGTAAAATGAGAAATTTGTCTTGTGTGTGGAAAATGTATGTTGACATGTCAGCGGTCAGTGCTGTCTGCATCATGTCCAAACTTTTCCCATCTTATTGTCACTTAGTGGAAAGATGCTCTACACAGTTCAAAACACTGAAGCTTCTGAAGCCCCTCCTACTCTGAGACAAACCCGCCGAGGAATAACACTCTGGTTACAAGCAACTCAGGGAAACGTGAAAGTGGAGACACTAGTGAAAAATTATAAATCACATCAGCAGTAATGATCCAGTTAGGTCAATTAGAGGTCACCAACATCAGTTTTGAGTCACTGTGCAACTTTACCAAAAACAATGTTGGAGTTTGTGCTGGTTTCCTCTCAAGGTGAATCAGTAGAGACATGTTTAGCCACATAATATTTTTAAACACTTGGCTGTCTAGAAAGCTGACTGTCTATTGGGCAATTATAAGGACAAACAGCATCCACCCCACTTTGGGCGGAGCAGTTCTCCTGTCACAAACTGGCCAACTGTATTAAGCCCCCAAAATGTGACTATCGGGAGTTGAGACCAGGAAGCAGCGCTGCAGTCTTATACTCTCTCTAGTTATAAAACAGCTAATGGGTCATGTTGTCCATTTTAAAGGTACAGCACTGATACTGCTTTGAATCATATCTATTCAACAGATTCAAATTTGTTTATGTAACTGGGGAGTCCTCTTCACACGTCAGGTGAATCATAGAGATTACAAGGTTCTGTGCTGGGACCAGTTTTTATTACAATGCAGATGATACCCAGCTTTATCCATCCAAAATTAAAATTAATTAGAACCAAGAATGTCTTACAGACATAAAGTCCTGGATGATTTCTCATTTCTTGCTTCTAAATTCAAATAAAACTGATGTTATTGTACCCTGACCCTCAGAAGTTTTAGAAGTATGGTGCCTAACCAGATATTTACTCCGAATGGCATTACTTTGGACTACAGTAACACTGGGAGGAATCATGGAGTCCTTTTGGGCCAGGATGACCTTCAATGCGTGTAGTAAACACATGCAGTAGTGTGAAAAAGCGTTTGAGCCCTTCAGGATTTGTTATTTGCATTTGCACAGTATCCATAAAAACTCGAAACATTCTGCCTTGGAGTGGAAAAGGTAGTTCATGCATTTATTAATTATAGACAGGACTATTACGTCACTCTAAAAGCTCCCTGAAAGGCCTTCAGCTCATCTAGAACAGCGGTCCCCAACCCCCGGGCCACAGACCGGTATCGGTCCGTGAGTCATTTGGTGCCAGGCCGCGAGAGTTCAGGCTTGGGTGTGAAATTTATGGTTTTCAGGGTTTTTATCGTTAACTCGGTTTCCCTGGGTCTTTTCCCGTGTTGTAGTTGTGTGTCTTATTTTGAAAGAAATATTTACTGCCTCCGTCTTCCCGCTCCACCACAATCAACCAAATGCAAGGCTAGGGGTGCAGGTGTTTCACCAGGGTGCAGGAGAGGGACTCCCCCGCTGTCCCCTTCTGGCCGCCTGTGCCTCAATTTTATTCCGAAACCTAGACATCCACATGGGGGGGGTGTGCACGTTATACAGCGTCCAGAGGATGGTCTGTGTATTCAAACCCACCTCTGGCGCTGGTGCCCTATCCTCAATTTTAAATGCATATAGACACTGAGGGTTTTCGGGAGGAGCCGTGCTGCTCTCTGGCAGGAAGCACCATGCCCTCCTGTGTTTTAAATGCACTTTAGAACAGCACGCAGCAACACTACATATGAGCGGGTGGAGGGGGGTTGGGGTTCCTCACTCACCCCCGTTCTCTGTTAACCGTTGGGAGGTGTTGGCCGTCCGATTGGGGTCTGGGATGTGGGGCCTCCCTGCTACTGCAGATAAGGGGGCGGTCTGCTTGCCTCCACCCAGGGAAAAGGGTTACATCTCCTTGGTCTAGGTGTGGTTTCCACCTCTGGGGGCTAGGGTACCTGGACCTGGGGTATAAAGTATGTTTGGGGAGTGTGATTGTGTGTACAGTGTCTATTTGTGTCTTTCTCCACATCAGGTGATTGTCGAGTATTTGTATATGTGTGCATGAGGGTTGGAATGCACGTTTGTCTGTGTGCGCCTGTTCGTCTGTGTCTATGTGTCAGGTCGGGTCTTAGACTCCACCTCTCTGGGAACATCTCAGGCCCTCCGAGGTATGAGGACTTATCTCCCCACCACACTCCCTGCCGGTGGCGGATGCCCTCAGACGTCAGTGCGTTGGTGGTTCTTGGTGTCTGGGGCTGGGTGGTCATGTATGTACTAGCTCACTCCAGGTGGCTGCTTGGCAGCACCTGGCACCTGTGATTCAGCTGGGCCCTGGGGGGTGGGGGGCCCTCTGGTCTCTGGGCCTAGGGCTCGGTCCTCTCTGGCACAGCTGGCTGCTGGCAGAGCCCACAGGCACGTCACTGCAACCCCCTCTGGCTTCTGCTCCGTGGCTGCTGGGTGACCCCTCATCTGGGGCTCTCCTCAGCTCTTCCCAGGAGGGTGGCACGGTTGCCCCCCTGGTGGTCCTCCTTGGGTTGTCATACTCTGGGGCCTCTGGATGTCTGGGGCCTGGATCTCTTTCATACCTGCTTCATGCCCTGGGGGACGGGGCTATGGCTCCCCACACTCCCTAGCATATCGTTACATGGAGAAACCTTTTGAATACAAGTGCTTTCATCCACACAGGTGTACACACAGGTGTACACACGGGTGTTCACAGACACAAACTACACCCTTCTTGGCTGCTGCCTCAAAGCACACTGTGTATAGCAACACAATGACAGGAAAGTTTTAGCATCTTTTTGACAGCATTGACTGCTGAAGAGAAACACACGCTTGTTAACACACATTTGTGCATTCGCATAAATAGGACGGTGAAAACAGGAAATAACTCCCACACTGACATTTCTGATTATACATATTCAACAATAATTACACTTTGAACAGGAACCAAACAAAGAAACAAATTCAGATGAGTGATCAGTTAATAACTATGCGCAATATAAACTTATTAACATTATGTTAATGTTTATGTCATATTACTCAGTGGAAACCAATGAATGCAAAATGGCTGCATTTAAATGTTCTAATCTGAAAGAGTTTCCTGATGAAAATCCCATTATTTCTACAAATGGGTAAATGTTTTTCATTTTCAGGCAAATGAGGATAAACCACTTTCATATCTATTTCTAGCCTATACACATATTAATGGATATTGGACTCACTTGTTGTAGACACTAATTTTTCTGCAAAAATGAATTTGGATGTTTTAAAAGCCGTTCATCATGGTGAAGGCACTGGTCAGAATTTTATTGCTGGGGTTTTAAAAACTCAGTTTAACTGTACTCTATCCCCACTCGCAGCAGTCATATGAATCTTGCCAAGTTTATTCTGACAAGTGAAAAATTAAAAATCTTAAACACCAGACTTGTTGGGAAATTGGCTTCCTAAATTTAAAGCCTTCCAGTCTACAAGTGATAACATGCCTTATCAATCCTAACCATACGTGGAATTGGGAATCTCTGGGAGCCGTTCCCTATGAAAACAAACACCTTGTACAAATGCTGACGGAGATGTTGTGTGAAAAAATAATTACCATATTGTGTCCCAGTACTTGCATTCATTGTTTCACTGATTATTCCTGTATGAAAATGCTCACTGAATATTGTCTAGAACAGTTAGCAAGGATACGCTGCATCATGCTAAGTCCGTCTACCTGGATCTGATAAAACTGCCCTATTAGGCTCCATCTTTCCACTCATTTCTGTACACAGCTAAGCAGAGTTGATTTTGTTAACTGTTAGCTATCAGTTGGGTAAAGAATGGAGAGAATTTGTTAATTAAAAAACACAATAAAAGGAATATTTAAATGTTAGCCTGTTAGCATTAAAATGCTATGTTTTGTACTGTATCGTAAAATCATTAACATATAATTGTAAAATGAATTTGTTCACATTGTGATCCTGCTGTAGGACGACTAAACATACTTACATTTAAGAGGGATGCCTAATTCAGTTCATTGTTCTGTGACTGTGACGCTGTGTAAGACCAAGAAAGTATTCTGTGGAGCACTGGGGCCTTTGTGGTGACAATTAACCAAGCGGCAGCCTATGAACCCAAACTTGAAGTCCAAACAACTGCTGCTGCTCCAACTGAGCCTGGGACCAAAGGTTGGTCAGTTCACATATTTATAGATACTCTGCATAATGAGGGTAAGAAGTTTTGCTTCATGAGGTCACAGAGACATTTCCTCTTAATGAGTATTCTGATTGTCTACAGTAAATGTGAGCGTTTTCTCCAAATATGAAGAAATTTTAAAAAAGGACATTGTATGCATTGACAAAGTAAAACCTATTTAAAAATAACATGTATACTGTTTTGCTGTTTGTAAATTGCGTCCGTATCATAACTTTCTGTTCCAACGCTGTTATAGGCGTTTCATTTTTGTAAAAAAAATTCTAAATAGCAACATGTTGCCAAATATATTCACTGCTGCAATAATATATCTTTGAAAACCACGATATAGATAGTACCCTGTTTTTATCAGTACATTGACCTGTGCTAAATTCTGCTAACACTGTCAAGCACGACTTTCTCATTCTTAGCTTTATCATTAGGAAGAGTTTGTTTTTAATTCTCAGCTATAAGGGTGTGTTTGAATATTAATATTACTACAGTACTCACTACTCAGGCTCCCGTGAGTCTGAATCATATATCTGTTTTTAGTTTTTGTGTTTTCAGGTTGAAATTAATAAAACTCCACACTTCCTCCAGTAATTTCAAATTAAAAGGGTCTAGGATGTGATGGATTGTGCCCTGTGAGGTGTTTGGAGACTGTTAAGATAAAAAAAAAAGCTGTATAATTTATAAGGCAGAATAAATGATTGAAAAAGGAAAGTGACTAGAAATAATTAATGATTTTAACGGTATTAAAAATAGAGAAAAGAAATCCAAAGCAGAAACACGATGGATAATGTTGAAGACATGGATGACCTTTTCACTTGCAAGTAAGTGGCTTAAGCAGCAATATTACAATTAGTTTGTTTTTAAAATAAAATACACACCTGAAAGAAGAAGAAAGAACTTAATTTAAGCTTCAAATATAAAGGACTTGTTCATTCTGCAGATGAGGTGAATTAAGGCCACTGACAGAGGTTTTACAGTAAGCCACATGAACACAAAAGGAATGCAAAGTGAATACATAATACTGGCAAACAAGAAAACATATATGACAGATTAAAAGCAGTAACAGGTTTCATGAAAACAAAAACAACCCATCTGTCACAGCTTTGGATTTGAACAAATTGTGATGCTCTGTGCACAAAACATGACATAAATATGTTTTTCCACCTTTAGTGACTACATGTACTGTGCCCCTGAAGGAGCTCAAGATCTTTATCAGTTATGAACCTTTGAACTTTGTTTAGATTCATATGTTTGACCAAAGCGTTTAGCGAACCACAACATAATCATGTGAAATGGTGTGTTCCATACAACAGATCCGGATTCATCATCGCGGCAGGTGCTGCACTTTTTACCATTTGCAGATGGCATCATTTCTCAGAGGCAGAGCTGCACAGACGACAGAAATAACCTCACTGGCTGATCCTCAGTAGAAAAGCAGAGGTTCCAAGCACAGCATAAGAACTGATCCTTTTCTATTTCTTTAATATTTTAATATGCAGTTTATAGTAATTGTGCTTTTCTCACATTAGCCCACGATTTAATTAATAGAGGTTATACATATTTGTTGAGGGTATTAATCATATTTGCCTTCTGTATCATTAACTTAAACAGTAATTCAGGTAAACAAGGAGGTAGACATATTTATTATTATTCAGATTCCTGGCCTTCTTGCCTCTTACACTGACAAAAACAATGCGACTCAGTTACAGCTCTTGGTGTTCGTCTGACTCAATCAGGATTTAGAATTCACTATTTAAACTTTAGAAGTTTAAAATATCTAGGACGCTAGCCAGCTTGACCCTCTTTGATCATGAATTCAGTGATCATGAATCAATGCCCTCCCTATTTCTGTTCATACCAGCTCATGAGGTTACAACTGCCTTGGCTGCAGATATCTCTGTCTTAAAGGTGTCAGCAGTGTGTGCCAAGTCAAACGCAACCTTTCTCACTCCCATGTCATCAGATGTGTGGTCCTTTGCTGTAGTGTTCCCTGAGATTGTAGGTCTGATAGCACATAGAGATGTCACAAACCCCTGGAAGTCCTGGGCTACCCCTTTTGCCAGGATCTCCCGGTGGGCCCGGTTTGCCTGGGATTCCCTGGTTGCCCGGCTGGCCAATCCCATCAAAGCCACGGGGACCCTGAATCCCTGGAGGGAAAAGAAAAGATTGAAATAAGAACCACCTCTGTACTTAGCCTAATTTAGGTCAGTGATAATTGAATTAGGAAGTTCAAGTCAGTTAGATCATAGGTTTACAAAATAATGCAACAACTCCACAGTGGTATTATGACACAGTGGGTGGGAACAACAAAAACTCAGCCACAAAGTGGTCGACCACATAAAATGACAGAGTGGGGTCAGCAGATAGAAGAGCCTTATAAACGTACTTAAATGTACATTTATAAGTGTACATAAATGTGCACTATATTAAAATTAAGAATGGAATATCATTCAAGTTCATATTCGTGGTATATTTGTGGCATTTATTAAACATCCACACTACTAAGAGCTTTCGCACATTTTCCAGAACTCTCAGGTAAAGTTCCTGGCATAGGTGAATAATAGAGGGTAGCACCAGTGTGGAGGTTATTGGATTGTAAAAGCAGTTAATAGGTTAATATGTGCACAATGAAACATACCTTGGTGCCCAGGTGGTCCTGGTGGTCCCTGGTCTCCATCTCCTTTTCTGCCTTTCAACCCTCTGGGTCCCATGTCACCTGGGGATATGATAAGTCTGTGTTTAAAAACTAACATTAGATTCAGACTGAGAGCTTCGGGAACAAAAATGCCATGTTTTCTGTAAATTTGAGTTTTGGGGACATTTTACGTCTGTTTTCCATGCAAACAATAACTTCCCATGCTGAAAAAGGAAACGATACCAAAAGGTTCAGTGGCTCTCCTTGCAACTAGAGGCTGACTCCAAAAGTGAGGTCGCAGTGGGAGATATTCGTATACCGTACTGTGAAAAACGATTTGCGCCCTTCCCAGTTTTAAAAAGCTAAACTTTCTGAAATCTTTCCATCATGTTTTGTCTGACATAAAACTAACACAACATATCAGAAAAACAGCATATGAGTCGAGTCCAATATGGTGGCAGGAGTTTAATGGTTGGGTCGGCTGAATGACTGTGACATGTTGAACCCACAGGTACTGCAGCCAGTTAAGGCACTGGCTCAGATGGTGGTGATGGTCGCAAATGAGCGGCAGCTGGACACCCAGGCTAAGTGACAGACATGGGTGCTGGAGAACCTGGTTGCTCAGTCTGGGGCTACTTCATCGCCTCCTGCTCTGGTGGTGGTGCTACACCAAACAGGAAGGCAGATGACCCCCAGTCCTTCCTGGAGGTGTTTCAGGCTATGGCGGTGGGCTGCCTGCCATCTCACACAGGCCCAGAGAGCCTTGGCGTGACAGTATGTTTAAGGCCCTATTGGTTACCTGAGCACAAAAGACAAATTACTCATAGGGCTGAAAGAGTCACACAGTGCACGGTCCATAGTTCCTGTGGTAGAAAAAAAATGAGTCTATAGGATTCTCTATTGACTATCGCAAGGTGAACGAGGTGTCACAGTTTGATCTTTATCCCGAGGTGGTTCTCACTCCCGACGTGTAACATACCGACAACTTGTCACATCCCGAGGCGTCCCATGGGAACGCGAAAGGTGGCCGTTCCCATGATACGCGGCGGATTGTGAATGACATCGCATACAATGACACTCCCGCAGTAATACACGCTCCAGCCATGTATTCCAGCCCTAACCCTAACCTTATCCCTAATCTTAACCACCACCTTAATCGTGTTAGATGGTGTTTTCCAAAGCGATTTAAGTAAAATAAACCTACATGTGTAGATTCATTCCAAACAGTTCTCATGTTTCCTCGTTTTTCCAAACTCGTAATATAGGAAATGGACTGATTCTTATTCTTTTCTACTCTCCCGGAGTCGTCAAAGTGCTCTATAAAAAAGCCATGATCACCCAATCACACTTTCTCTGAACTTACTGCTTTTTCTAACTGCACTCACACTCCAATGGATGCATCGGAGAACAACTGGGGGTTAGTATCTTGCACAAGGATACTTGACATGCAGACTGGAGGAGCCAGGGATTGAACCACCAACCTTCCGATGCTTTGGGAGTGAGAACGTTTTGTTATCCCATATCCCGGGTCAAGGAGTTCCTGGATTGGTTAGGCATAGCTCGCTTTTTTAATCACACTGCATTTAACAAAGGGCTACTGGCAGATTCAGATGTGTGCAGAGTTCAGACGAAAAATGCCTTCTCCACTCAGTATGGTTTGTGATACATAAATAAACTTAAAATGAATTAAACTATTACTGACAGTTGTACAATTACCTGTACACTGGATATGTGCACATCCAGGGCACAGAATTATTCAGTGTCTTCCCTTAATGTTCTCAACCAGCTCCTCCAAAGTCGCTGCATGGCTGGCCTAACAAGTTAAAATGCTACACAGCAGTGGAGTGGTATCTTCCACAGCTGATTAGCCACTCTCTGTGTTGAAGTGGTGATAAATCACAGACAGCTCGCTGAGATGGGTGTGGAGCATTTGTTGTCTTTTGCTCTGCTGACTTTCACTGATGTTCGCTTGTTTAATGATCTTGTTTTATGGGGTACAGTGAACATCAACACATCCAATTTGTTCATCATTGACACTGTTTTGATTTTAACTGTTGATGAAAGCGGTCGTAAATTTTGTCCCATCGCTTCTTTGTGATGCTGTGTTGTTACTTATTGCCTTGTTTTCATCAGAGTGAGGAGCCAGAATGGAGCTTTTTGTCACAGTGGAGCAGATATAACACTGGTGAGAGGAAGCTTTGTGTACAGGCAACATAAACCTGTCTGAAGATACTGGTTCATAACTTTAAGAAACTGTGTCATATCAAACCTTTGAGGCCTGCGGGGCCCTGTATTCCAGGAGGTCCTGGGTAACCAGGAGCGCCATTTCTGCCAGGGTAGCCTGGAGTTCCCATGGAGCCTTTGGGTCCCGGTGCTCCCGGCTCACCTGGAGGACCCTTCACACCCTGGCAGGGTTCACACCTAGAGTGAGGAGTCAGGCTCTGTAGCAATGCTGGCAGCTGGTCTGTAGGGCACAGCCACAACATGAGAAGAATCTGCTTTTGTTACACACTTTAACAATACACTGTATTTTGCACACTATAAGGCGCACTTAAAATCCTTTAATTTTCTCAAAAATTGACCGTCCGCCTTATGTATGAATTCTGGTTGTGCCATGCTGTAAAATGGCACCTGTTAAGAGACATGCTTACGAAGCGGATTTCAAACTCAAGGCTGTCAGTCGCGCAGTAGAACACGGGAATAGAGCAGCTGCAGAGAATTCAACATTAATGAATCGATGGTACAGAAGTGGAGCAAGCACGAAGAATGAGCTGAGTCAAGTTTGACTTATCTGACTGTTTTGTTTTGCTTAATGCGTCTTATAATCTACAGCATGTAATTGCCAGCTTTAGACTCGTAGTTGCAGTTATTCAGTCTTATAATATGAATCTATAGGCAGTCTCTGTATTTTTTAGGTTTGTACTAAAAGCTTAGCCCAAAACAGCAGACAGACAGGACTGTGAGCAGCAGTTAAAAAGCCTGATAGTACAGACAACATAAGACTTTATTCAGACAACATGCTGAATTGTCTTAATTTTGCATTTTTGAAATGGCCACTAAGAGACAAAAAGCCTTTTGACCCTACAGAAGTCAGCAAAATACTGAAATACTCATTTCGTTACACTGAATCCAACATTAAACCAGTTCTGAAACCTTTGGTCATTGTAAGAGGCAGAAAAGAACATTATTCAGCTCGTGTCCATGAGTGTATGCTTTCACAGCCACATCCACGCCTCATTTGTCACATCCAGTTTCAAAACACTGAGATGGCAACATTGGAAATGTCATCTCAAGGCTTCAGAACAGGACTTTACAAACCAGCAGGTGAAAGTACAGTATCCATCTTTTATATTATCTATGGGTGGGAAAAAAGGAGCTGTGAGAAAAAACATTCACTGGATTCTTCTTTACGTCAAAGGCTAAACAGGAAGGAGGTGATTTATCACGACTAACACGTTCATTCTGAGTTTAAGACTGTCTTTTACAAAACAACTGCACTTAAACTAGACTAAGCCCATTCGCCAATTTACTGCAACAAGTGGATATGGATGAAAAGCTATTGTGTGAAATGCATGTTTGAGACAACTGCGGCTTTGGTTTTTGCACCGCAGAGTGATGTGAAAACAAACAAATACTTACTACGCAGAACATCAGTGCAGAGCTTTACGAGATGTTCGTCTGAGGGAGGCTTACCCTGGAACACACAATTACACTTTGATTCAGCTGAAGCCACTCTGGGACTTGGAAAACATGCTCTGGCTCGTGCCTGCAGATTTAGAGGATCTTCTCAATGCTCAGTTCTCCATCTTCATGTAGCTCACACACACTGACAGCAGTGTCACAGTAACTGCCAACCCTGACCTCTCCAGGTGTGGCAGGAAAGTGTCCTTTCTCCAACATTTTTCAGTCCTTTTTTATTCTCACTGCTATGGTTGTTAACATCAGATAAGAAAGGAGGCACACTTACAGGTTTGCCAGGATATCCCGGTTGGCCTGGTTGGCCCGGTTGGCCTGGCGACCCATCCTGTCCGGGAAATCCCCTGGGACCAATGACACCCATGTGGCCCATGTCACCCTTCTTTCCATCGGGTCCTCTGGGGCCCGTATCACCTGTCACTCCTTTCTGAAGCAGCAACAAAAGAGCACAAAAAAGTCACACTCTAAAGAGAGAAACAGTAAAACTGATCTGCAGTTACTGACTGCTAAACACTTTTTCTTAACACTCCTAACAACTGCATAAGCAGATAAATAATACGAATGCTTGTTGGAAGGTTGTGTAATAGGTAATAACAGTGAACTACCTGGGATACTGTTACCTGTGTCAAACACAGGTTTGTCCTCATTCAAAAGCCTTTCTCTTGTAATGTAAGAATTTAAAACATCGTAGCATATCAACATTGGTGTTAGCTCGGCAGTCAGACACTGCAAACTCATCCTCAATCTCAAATCATTTTTGGGGCGTCCATGAGTGACACGCAAGGTCTCTTTTGAGCTGGTGGCTTGACACACCTGTTCCAGCAATAGTGAGGTGGGTATCCCAACTTGCCACATGTGCACATAGAATGAGATTTTTTGATTTTTTAACATTCACGGTGCTGTGAGAAGACATTTGAACCAAGACCACAATATTTTCCAGAAGTTAAATAGCACTGGTGCTCTGTCATCCTTCACTCCTCTCTGCCTTGCTCCATTCAGTCCAATATTGCAGCAGCCGGTCTACGAAATCTTTGATACACCAGTCGTTTTGACAAAAACAGCAGCATTTGACACCCTGGGTGTGAAAACATGTTAATACAGCAACTTTCATCCACATGGCTCGGACATACAGCTTTTACCTCAGTCTTCTGACATCTGCTAAACCAGGGTGTAATAAAACCTTTACAGCTTTCTTAGTTTCGATCAAGTCAGTTGGAAACAATAAAAGTTTCCAACGCTAGCTGAACAGCTAGCTAGCTGAAACTGATCGAATCTGGTATTTCAACTGACAGAATTTGTGACAAATACAAATGCTTTGTCAGTCAAGAGAAACTAGTTTCTGTAAACCTGCCTAAGAACAAGTACAATGACTTTACAGGCTGCTGTTGTTGTCAACCTGCAGGTGTGCCACGCACGGGCGAAAGGTTTGGCAGATATAGGTGTAGGGCAATGACAGTCTTAAAGGAGCTTTAGTAAACAGTGAATAACAGTGAAGCTTTGCATATCTGCTTTTCTAATGATCAAAAAGCAGATATGTTTTGATGTCCTACAAATGGCAGCGACTGAGGGAAGTTGTATCTCCTTAAATTGTGATTCTGCAGACAGTAGAGTAAGTGTTTGATTTGCAGATGTGTGCATCTTAGGGAAAGAGTGCTTTTGTGATGTATATTTCTGCCCGGGGGCCCAGATTTCCACAGGCCTGAAGGTACTGGCTCTGTAAGTCTTTTATAGCAGCCATGCAGGCTTGACAGGCCTTCTCACTGTGGTGCAGAATAAGACAGAATGGATTATATCTAATACCGCAAAGTCTAATTCGACAAACCTCTCCTTTCCATCCCCTGGGTCCCACTTCGCCCTGACGGAAGAAGAAAAGAGAGTGGGGAGGGAGGGGAGGACGAGAGGAGGGGAAAATAGAGAAAGACAGTTAGAAACTTCTGCTTACATCAAAGACAGTATGTCAGAGAAACTACATGAGCTGCTCTGCATTGCTGATGCAGAACTGCTCTTTTCTGTCAAACCGATGACTTAGATTGGTTATTGTAATGCATTTTATAAAGATTTTTCCCCACCTCTTTCTCTTTGTTGTAATGTGATGAAAATGTGGATTTCTTAGCCCCTAAAAACACGATCCAGTGGTAAACACAGTTTTATAAAGCTTCTACACTGCCAGATTACAGATAGGTTGGTATGTTCCATTTTCCATGAAATGCTTCCCTTTTTGCTCCAGACTTCCTCTTTCTTTCATGACCAGGTAATTGATTTCAATCATTTTAGGAAAGAAACTCTAAGAAACCTTACTAAAGCCATAATGCCAGGGGCTTACAGCACAATCTGCCAAAGGAACTTTCTCAATCACCCGCACTGCTGATGTAACAGGAAGAAAATCAATGTGAAATTAAGGTCAAAAACCCTACAGACATCCACTCAAAGACTCGAGAATGCATCCAGCAGTGCGACACTGTTGGTGTTGGGAAATGTTCATGCATGTTCAGTAGCCGTTTCTGTTTCTGCTCAAACAGCAGCTCTTTGTTGCTTTCTATTCAAGTCACTGTGTGGATGCACTTCACACAAAAACTGAGCTATCCAGTCAAAGGACTCACAGCTTTTGTGGTTTCAGTTTTACAGAATTCAAGAGTTTCAGTTACCCTTCTTTGTCATTGGTCATCAATCAGTGTCCACAAGTGTTTCATCACTTTTTAGGTTAATAATATAGACCAAACACACAAATCCATAAAGCTAATATGAACAGCCATGCAAGACCTTGCAGCTTACACTTTGTAGAATAATTAAAGAGCCTTCAATTGAATTATTCAATGAATTAATGAATAAACAGCCCATGTCTTGTGTTGTTAAAATTTAGTCTAGACGGAAGGTCTTGTTTTACGTAGGGAATGTTTTTGTAGCATGGATAGAAGTTTAGAAAGACAGGATTGAAAAATGCAAAAAATAACCCCTAACCCAACATCTTTAATTACCCTAGATGTTGAGCAATGTAAAATGTTCAGCTCGGGAGACTCAACGTCCACTACAGCAGTTACTCAACTCAGCAAACTAAGGTTAATGTGTTCAGGTTCCAGAAATTCTCAGCAGAATTAACCCTGTGGCTATCACAAAAACCACATACAAATGTACACACATAAATATTGTGTAATTCTGTGTAATTATGGTTGCAAAAACCACCTCTGTGCATTTGTATTTTGACTTGAATCAATGCTCTAAACAAAGCTATTGAGAAATCTGACAGATAGCATTATTACTATTGTTTATTTTCTGTTGCAGTAACATCGTGTGTGTGTGTGTGTGTGTGTGTAGGGTCTTACTAAAGAATTATAATTATGGATTTAGAGTCATTCCAAGTAAAAAGCCAGTGCTGTCAAGAGGGATAAAGGTTTTTAAGTTTGCTGCTTTGTTACTTTACCTCATTGGTCTCTAAAAGCTTCCTCATAAATGCTAGCACTGAATGTACGCAGTAAACTCCACAGACTGTGTGTGAAAGGTATTGTAGCCACCATGATGCCACCTGTTGGAGCATCAGTGATGGAGTTTTGGACGTCACCAGCTAACACTAGCAAGCTAATTTAGCAAGCTGTAGCCATAAAATGCATGGGTGCAATACAGACATAATAAGGGTCAGTAACAGACTAATCAATGACATAGTATGTTGCACAAGAAACATCCCTTAGGTACCAAAGTGACAGCTTCATCACTTCCTCTTGGGAAACAGGGGCACACCCGCCCTTGTTCCCTCCAACTACAATCATATTCATTTTAGCCAGCAGGAATTAGGAAGTGTGTCTGAAGACAAAAATATCAAATTCATTTCAGAGGTGACACGCTTGTGATTCACTGCTGATGCATTTAGCCTAGAGTGCACATCACATGGAGGCTGGGCTATTCTCGACACTAAGGAATTACAGAGTGTGAACATTAAGCTGCATGCTGAGACATTCATGTGTCTCCAGTGTCGCACGCATAACCACACAGCCGTGGCTCAGTGTGATGCAACATGGCTGCTGCAGTGCACACACCTCCAAGTTTACTGTCAAATCCTTGTCTTGGAACGTGAGGGGCAATGCCTCAGGGATCAATACCTACTGATAAACACTTCAATTACATAGATTAGGTGGAAACATTCTGATTTTTATGTTTTCTTATTGTGTTTATTGACATTCATTAAAGATGATAATTGCAATGTGGAAAACATGCTAGTTCTATTATACTGCCCTGCTTCTCTAATCTCATTTCACCTTGTTGCCAGGAACAATCATCTGCCAACAGCTTGAAAATACTCCCCAACTACAACAATTCCATCTATTCAGCATTAGCAGTTGTTCTGTCTCTGCAGCTGTTTCTTGCCTCTCTCTGATGGATAACGGAGTGTTTCACAATTACATCTAATAGATTTCTTCTTATAGTAAATATCATGTAGAGCTCCTATTGTTTGTTTATTACAAACAATACTTTACGTGGCTCACAGTCAGTTCTGCGTTCCACCCAGGAGTGGTTCTTCAGCTCCTGTATCTAGCGAGCTTATCACTAGCAGGCCTTCCTCCATGTCACGATAAGAACAACAAAGTAGCTAAATTATATTTATCTGCTTCAGGTTCCACATGCTGATATTACTCATGTTATTAGTAATACTTCTGCTTTTTCTTCTTTGACAAGTCACAGCTGCCAAAGCAAGTATGTGAACAAGCTATCTTGGTAATTAGTGACTTGTTTACACATACGTCAATATAAATTCACACGTTATTTTTGCTTGTGTGTTTTTTAAAGATATATTTGTACATGTCGTTCTACATCTGCGGAGCATTTTACACAGAAACAAATGAACCTGAGAGAAAATAGCTGCTAACGGAGCAACGAGAGGTTTCTCCATGTATGACTGATGTTATTAGACATAGATAAAATATCATTAATTTTACCTCCCTGAGCAAATCAATCATGGTGTTGTGTGAGCTAAAGTTATTAGACTGAGCTGTAAAATGTGTCTTTTTATTGCACTTCCAGCAGTCCTAGAGCTGCTGTCTGTCTCTCTAATCATCACCTTCAGATTTGTTTGCCAGTTCACGCCATCGAAACCTGTAAACTGACCATTGATTTTCAGTTAAACGCCTGTATTTCAGCCTATTCTGACACGGTGTCTCCTCTGGGCCCTCCTCGCTGTTGCCAAGAATCTGAACCGTGGCACTGTGATCCTCAATAATGTGGATCTTAGCTTGAGCCTGAACAACGAAGCTGGCTGGGGCTTTGCCACGAGGGCCCTGGAGTTTGTCTCCAGGGTCACTTATCAAGGCATATTAACTCAGCTTAGTCACCTCTCTCTGAGTGGCTGTTGAATATGTGCTTCCAGACTAGATTTTATGATTCTTTGTGTAAAGCACCGTTGCCGTTTCACGCCCCTCTTTTTCTTTTCGGTGTTACTGTGTTTTTAATGTACTGTTTTCTTTTATCAGAAATCCATATAACATTGCTCTTACAGAGGCTTTTTAAGGTGCTTTATAAGATCACAATCAGGCAGTAAGTTTACATCAACTCATGATGAGCATGAATGTTGTGATAATTCTCATTCTCACCCACTGTCGTGGTCTCTGACACAGTATTTAGAGTTTGGTGGCTTGTTGGTGGCCAAATCAAACAATTCAAAAATCCAAAAACAATTTCAAACCTTTGCACCCAATAGTTGTTTTCAGCAGCCACTAAGCATGTATGCTGTGCAATCATTCCACCGTTTGAACAGTTCAAAGAAAGCCTACAGTTACAGTCACATTCATGATGGATGTGTGCAAACGTTTGACCTGATCTGTAAGGACTGTAATGACTTTGGGAGAATTTCTCTGAGGGCTCCAGTTTATTAGCTACAGATAGCTAAAGAAAAGAAATTCTAACAAGATACTGGTTTGGTCAAATTTCATCAATTCTCTATTTTTCCCCAACCTAAACTAGTTTAAAGTAACCTCATGATGTAAGCCTAAATTAGCTCCGTGTAAGTCCCATCCCTGTGTCCTTGTGGGGACATTTGGTTCAAGTAACTGTGCACACACACACAAGAAGCACACATTTTGAACACAGCGTTTGAAAACATAAGCTCCGCTGCCACCCAGTGGAAGCAGAAGGATTCTACACTCACCGGCACGCCGGGACTCCCGAGATCTCCGTCTCTGCCTCGCTCCCCCTGCAAAAGAGATACCTCATCATTGACTGGAGGATTGTGTGAATTTGTTTGCATGTGTGTGGGGCTGAATGTGTGTATGCACTGGTGTGTGCCTGTCAATGTCTTCATTTTATATGTGTGTGTGTGAGAGAGGGACAGGGGGAGTGGAGAAAAGGTCATGATTACCACTAGCAGCCAATAAGGGAAAGCCAGAGTGAGAAAGGGATAAGAATTGGCTGCTGGTGACCTTTAACAAACCTGACTTTTTTATCTCGTTTGTGTGGTTTTCCAACCACATCCTGCAGCAGAGGAAGCACCCAGAGGAGCTTTCTCTGTTCCTCTGGGCCATCACTCTGTCTGCCATTAGTGCATGTAAAAGCAACCAGTGCAGACAACAGTGGCTGCAGCAAAGCTGAGGTTTTATATTAAAGATCAGCTTACATTAGACGTCTTTGGCCTCTTACACTTGCTCTAAGAAACTGGAGCTACTTAAATATACTACATACTCACTGCAGTCCAATGCAGTCATATTAGTGAAGTAATCGCTTGAATAGTTGCTGCAAACATCTTTGTCCGCTGTGTCATCCTGTCAGAGCAGGGTGTTCAAAATGTTCTTATTAAAATTAGAAGAACTGAGGAAAATCTACCAGTTAAAGCCTGTATCAGAGAACACTCAGTACTCATGCTATTTAAAAAAGTGATAATTAGTTAACAAGCAAAAGCTCTGCTGTAGAATAATGTCAAATAGATCATCTGTAACACTATATCTGATTTTCCTGCAGGTTCAAAATAAATTAAATTAGATGATGTCCACCTGTGTAAACCTCTGATGTCCACCTCTGTAAACCTCTAATGTCTACCTGTGTAAACCTCTGATGTCCACCTCTGTAAACCTCTGATGTCGACCTGTGTAAACCTCTGATGTCCACCTGTGTAAACCTCTGATGTCCACCTCTGTAAACCTCTAATGTCTACCTGTGTAAACCTCTGATGTCCACCTCTGTAAACCTCTGATGTCTACCTCTGTAAACCTCTGATGTCCACCTCGTGTAAACCTCTGATGTACTCTTAACTCTGATGTAAACCGTAACTTGATGCTCTGCGTACGAATTCTTATCCTGTGTAAACCTCTGATGTCATACCTGTGACTAATGCTTTACCTCCTGTACTGATCGACTACCTGTAAATGTAAACCTCTGATGTCCACCTCTGTAAACCTCTGATGTCCACCTGTGTAAACCTCTGATGTCCACCTTGTAAACCTCTGATGTCCACCTCTGTAAACCTCTGATGTCCACCTGTGTAAACCTTTGATGTCCACCTTGTAAACCTCTAATGTCCACCTCTGTAAACCTCTGATGTCCACCTGTGTAAACCTCTGATGTCCACCTCGTGTAAACCTCTGATGTTACCTGTGTAAACCTCTGATGTCCACCTCTGTAAACCTCTGATGTCTACCTCTGTAAACCTCTGATGTCTCACCTGTGTAAACCTGTATGTCCTCGAACCTGATCACCTGTAAACCTCTGATGTCCACCTTGTAAACCTCTGATGTCCACCTGTGTAAACCTCTGAATGTCCACCTGTGTAAACCTCTGATGTCCACCTCTGTAAACCTCTATGTCCACCTCTGTAAACCTCTGATGTCCACCCTGTAAACCTCTAATGTCCACCTGTAAACCTCTGATGTCACCTCGTGTAAACCTTGATGTCCACCTCTGTAAACCTCTGATGTAACCTCTGTAAACCTCTGATGTCCACCTCTGTAAACCTCTGATGTCCACCTCTGTAAACCTCTGATGTCCACCTGTGTAAACCTCTGATGTCCACCTCTGTAAACCTCTGATGTCTACCTGTGTAAACCTCTGATGTCACCTCTGTAAACCTCTGATGTCAACCTGTGTAAACCTCTGATGTCCACCTTGTAAACCTCTGATGTCACCTGTGTAAACCTCTAATGTCTACCTCCTTGTAAACCTCTAGATGTCTACCCTGTAAACCTCTGATGTCTACCTGTGTAAACCTCTGATGTCGACCTCTGTAAACCTCTGATGCCATCCCTTTAAACTCTGATGTCCTACCTGTGTAAACCTCTGATGTCTACCTGTGTAAACCTCTGATGTCTACCTCTGTAAACCTCTGATGTCTACCTCTGTAAACCTCTGATGTCCACCTTGTAAACCTCTGATGTCACCTGTGTAAACCTCTGATGTCCACCTCTGTAAACCTCTGTGTACCTCTGTAAACCTCTGATGTCCACTCTGTAAACCTCTGATGTCACCTCTGTAAACCTCTGATGTCACCTGTGTAAACCTCTATGTCACCTCTGTAAACCTCTGATGTCTACCTGTGACTAATGCACCTGTGTACTTTGATGTCCACCTCTGTAAACCTCTGATGTCCTACCTTGTAAACCTCTGATGTCCTCCTGTGTAAACCTCTGATGTCCACCTTGTAAACCTCTGTGTAACCTCTGTAAACCTCTGATGTCACCTGTGTAAACCTCTGTTGTAACTCTGTAAACCTCTGATGTCCACCTCTGTAAACCTCTGATGTCCACCTCTGTAAACCTCTGATGTCACCGTGTAAACCTCTGATGTCCACCTGTGTAAACCTCTGATGTCCACCTCTGTAAACCTCTGATGTCCACTGTGTAAACCTCTGATGTCCACCTGTGTAAACCTGATGTCCTGTGTCATGTCCACCTGTGTACCTCTAATACCTTGTAACCGTGATGTCCACCTGTGTAAACCTCTGATGTCCACCTCTGTAAACCTCTGATGTCCACCTGTGTAAACCTCTGATGTCCACCTGTGTAAACCTCTGATGTCCACCTCTGTAAACCTCTGATGTCCACCTGTGTAAACCTCTGATGTCCACCTGTGTAAACCTCTGATGTCCACCTGTGTAAACCTCTGATGTCCACCTGTGTAAACCTCTGATGTCCACCTGTGTAAACCTCTGATGTCCACCTGTGTAAACCTCTGATGTCCACCTGTGTAAACCTCTGATGTCCACCTGTGTAAACCTCTGATAGTTGATGTTCAAAAGGAGTTTTTTCCTTGTCCTCTACTGCTCAGTGGGTAAACTGTTGTTTCTCTCCATAACAGTGTAAAGTCCTGACCCTGGTATGCAGCACCAGCTGTTTTCATCTGACATGATGCCACATAAGTAAAGCTGGAGATGTACCGCCGATTAACCAATCACGGGACTCAATGAGAGGTCAGGACCACTGACCAAAAACCTGACATTCCCCTTCCCAGGAACAACAGTATCACAACTGTTTGTTGTTCCCACTTCACGGCGATATGCCACGCCACAAACAAACACATGAAACCATTGTGCTAAAATCTTATTTTGAAACTGGTTTTATCATAATGCTAATGCTGTAGCCAGTGAGCTGTCGGTGTAACCTTTGGCTTTTCTCTAGTTTCATGTTTCTGGCCCCGGCTGCAGAAGCAGAAGGCAGAGCGTCGCTCTCTTTGCTTTTATATTCATGTCATTGTTGTTTAACATTTATTAGCTGAAACTTTGACTTCACATTCACATATTTGAATACTGCCCCTGGGTATTTAAGTTTGCTAAAAACTATGTTGTTATGAAACAGAATGATTAACAGGGTACCTCACTTTTTCTAGATATTTTAATAACCCCGCCGCTTCATGAATTAGCATGGCACATGTGTTTTTGTTGAAAATGATTCAGAAACATACCTCTAGGCTAACGGTTGTTTGGCCCTAGAACACGATCGATGGAGCGCTGCATCACTAATGCTGTTCTTTAGTTAAGCTAAACCTACTTGTGCTGAGATGGAGCTTGGAGCCTGTGGAGTCATGATGGATCGTATGTTCTCATGAAGCTGGTTAGTTTGGATGTGATTCCACACTGTGAATGAGTGTCGGGAAGAAAAGCCACCGTACCTGTGCTCCTTTGGACCCAGGTTCACCTCTCTCCCCCTGATGACACAACACTGAGTGTTAGAGCACGCCCACGTTACACTGTGGCGACAGCGCGAAGACTTAACCAGAGAGAAACAACATGTGCTGTGGATTGCACACTGCGCATCAAACGCAGCCGTATGTTCTGGATCAGGGCTGTTTATTGTGTCTTTATGTGTCCTGGCATCTGCTTTTGAAGTGTGAAGGACAACCTTCAGCACCATTAAAATTAATCATGTCATCTAAGCACAGTATGAATAATACATCAACAAGCATGTATTATGTTACGCTGTCAACATTTCCACAGTACAGCTTGTAAATCATGTAAGCTCCTGACAGTTAGAGCCATAAATCATTCATCAAGTGCTGCCTCTGCTGCCTTTTCAAGACTTCATTATGGACAAATAAACCATGTTTTTTTGTATGTAATTACACGAGTTGACTCTCACCTTATGACCTTTGAACCCTGGCAGACCCATGGCCCCTGGCAGCCCTGGAACGCCTGGTTCTCCACTTGATCCCTGAGAGGGTGAACATTTCAGTGATGTGGGAGAAAGGAAAAGATGCAGAGAATGTAAACCAGGTCTGTGATTGTTTGGTGTCCAGCACAGAGCCGACACATTAAAGCCAGGATCTTTGGAACGTGGTCAATAAATACCTCGGGCTCCAGATAATCATCAGCGTAGGTAAACGTGGCTTATAAAGATATCTGAGCGAAGACATTTCAAGTGTTCCTTTGCTTGTGAAATTATCATTTCTAAAATGCTGAAGCAAATTGTGCTTTGAAGGATGACACCTTGGAAATAACAAAGGTACCTGTAATTAAGCAGCAAAGACAACTTGGGTTCTTTTTTTAAACGGTTGACATTTGTGGGCGTAATTCTTCAGTAACATGTTGCTTAATGAACAAGCGACATAAAAAGTGCTGCTGTCACTCAGCAGGAAGATCCAGGCTGGTGAAATAAGTACGAGCTGACAGCAGGAATCTGGGTTCATGCTGAATTATCAGACTGTCACCTTTATGTAGGCTGGAACTGCTGGAACTGGGAGATTGTGCAAATATCGTCATGTTTGCTGTATCTTTGTGTTAGGTAAACACAGATGAAACTTCACTTTATGTTGCTATTGTGTTTGAACCTCAAACACCGAATGCTTAGGTTTAGGATTAGGAAGCAAAACTACTTGGTCAGGTTTGCTTCATGCTTCCAAAACACAAATATATTATAAACATTTTCTTGTGAGTAGATTGGCCTGTTAAGTCCACAATGCAACACGCAAAGCATGGACATGTGGATTGAGCCCTTGGTTAAAAAAAACTGGTGAAGTCGATGTCTTTTTTTAATAATATATTCATGAACTGAATTCATTTAAACACTAAACTATTCATAGACATGTGAGACGTAATCTGATGAAGTAATAAATACATTTAGCATTATTGTACAATTTTGAGTCCACTTGTGCCGCAGGACCCACCAAAGCACATTGGAGGCCTGAATATCAGGCAGTGTGTTAATGTTTATACTTGTGCAGATCAACAGACGTCTCATCTATCATCACGTTTTTGTATTTAATCTCAGCAGGAGTCTGCAGAACAGGTCATGGGGACATGTCAAAATAATAAAACAACAAAAAGTGTTAATAGACCCAACAGCGACTAAAAAAACAAAAACATAACAGAAAATGCTTAAAATGGCCTTTTTAGCAACGGAATGACATTATATGGCAGTGCTTAACAGAGTTACTAGACCACCTGTCATAAAAACATTCAAGAAACCCCAAATATATTAGAAGAAAAAAAGAATTGTTTAAAACTGAAAATGATATTATTTATTAGGCAAATAACAAAATGAAACCAGTAAGCAGTCCTTATTTACATATAATAACCATAAAAGTTCATATTTTACATGCCTTCCTTTGGCCTTGATAACAGCTGTCATTACTGCTGGCAGCGTTTTTTGGACTTTCGATAGTATCGTTTATTATTAAGGTCCAAATAGTTCCAGGCTGTTCCCGGACGCTGGCTTGTTTGCTATCTTTGAATCCATTGCATCTCAAATCTGTGGATTCAAGTCACACTTCCATCATTTCCAGTGTTCCTTTTTACTGGTCAAATAGTCTTTGGAAAGCTTTGAAGTACGCTTGAGGTCATTGTCTTTTTGGTATATGTACCACGACCTTCAGTTTGAGACTAGGGTTACGTCCACACGTACACGGGTATTTTTGAAAACGGAGATTTTCCGTTTTCGTTTTAAAAAATAATCCCGTCCACACGTAAAGGCAGAAATGAAGGAAAACGCTGCTATGAACATGCCAAAGCAACAGGTGGCGATATATTCCTAATCGTGTAGAAATGTTGGCCAATCAGAAGTCTAGAAGCCTTGGTGGGAAAAAGTAAACAAAGCTGGGGCATAGAAGCAGAACCGAGTCGTATGTGTGGACGGACAGTAACTGTGTGTATATGTAAGCATTTAAACACTGCAGAGAGTACAAGTAACAGTATTGTAGAAATTCATTTCACCGAAACAATAACGTGGCGCACAGTGTGACGTCAAAAAAGGCGCACATCTTTGACGCTGCGTATTCTCCGTTTTCTCCGTTTTCCTCGTCCACACGTAAATGCAAAAACGGAGTTTTCAAAAATATCCACCCTGGCAGGCGTTTTTAAAAATCTCCGTTTTCAGTGAGCGAAGACGCCGTTTACGTGTGGACGAAAGGTGCAAACGCATAGAAAAATCGGCGTTTTCAAAAACACCTGGGTACATGTGGACGTAGCCTAGGAGGGCATGCCATGATGCACTGAGATGCTGTGGTAGACCTTCTGGTTCATTATACCTTCAGTTTTCACTCATTTGCTCTCACTGTTTACATAAACGGCTTTTTTGTCGACATAAGCGCGACAATGCTGACCACAGAGTTCAAACTTGAACTTGTCTATCCAGAGTACTTTCTTCCAGTCATCTACCCTCTCTGTTCTTCCCTTGAAGCCTTGTTCATTCAGTCATCTGCATATGGTCATTCTGAAGACTTTCTCAGACTCTGATCCAGACACATTTATCTCTGCCTGAAGATCAGCAGTGGTCTTTCTTCTGTCTCTGTTACTTACAGTCTTGATGGGCCTGACATCTGTTTCAGTCAGCTTTCATTTTCTGCCTCTTTCTTGGTGCACTAGTCTCCAAAGCATATTTGACCACACTGTGAGAACACTGTGTGTCAACGACAATCCAGGATCCAAAAGTGCTTCAGTGCGGACTTTCTCCCTTTCAGGGAGTTCTTCACACTTTATCATTTTGTGAGGAATTTCAAACTGAACTCACGTTTTTACACTTGCATTTGAACTAATACACCAGACTTCTCTAAGAAGTCAGAAAATAATTTAGTATAAGATTCAACAACTAACATTACTTTTTCCTTTTATGGAAAATGTAACGTTGCCCTTCACTATTTTTTGCATTTCCTTTGTAAAACAGTAAGCGTATTTATTTTTTCAATGAAAAAGATATTTTGGTAATTACGATCCTCTTGATTTAGGGCAGCTGTAATGGATAAACTTTACACTGGGTCCTGGTCCAATAAGTTTCTTAAGCACTGCAATTACATTCATTTGAATGTTTCTCCATATCCCATGAACACCATTGTTATCATCACGTGAGCTGAAGCAACTGAAAACGTTATGAGACACTCACACAGCTGCTCTCAGCTAATATTTTGCAAACAGCTGGCAGACCAGTTTAGATACTGCATACCTGACCTCAGCCCATAAGGACAATAAAGTTGTCACACCGATGATTAAGTAACCCATGCCTTAGTTAAGGAAGCTCCAAAACAAACTACTGGTTAACTGTTGGCTGTTAGTGTAGAAAGTAAATGTTGGTTAACTTTGTGTCGTCAAAGGAGCTTGCAAAGAAAAGCGTCTGGACTTCTTTAAGTTGCTTGAAGACGTTTCACCTCTCATCCGAGAAGCTTCTTCAGTTCTAAGGTCAAATGGTGGAGAGTCCCAGATATAAACCTAGTGGGAGTTTCCCCCCACAGAGGGACAAAAGGACCCCCTGATGATCCTCTAATCGCCTGAGCCAAGGTGTGAAACTGGGTGTGGGTTTATATCTGGGACTCTCCACCATTTGACCTTAGAACTGAAGAAGTTTCTCGGATGAGAGGTGAAACGTCTTCAAGTAACTTAAAGAAGTCCAGACGCTTTTCTTTGCAAGCTCCTTTGACTACGATGACCTGGATGACTGAGAACCTTCACAGACATTTTGGTTTGTGTCATTACATTGGTTTACTGTTACCTAAAATCAATATCATTAGCAATAATATGGTGATATAATATTGATATTAAATAAAATTGTGACTTTTAAAGAACTGTGAATATAACAAACTGAAGAGAAAATGTTAATATTGATGACAGCGCTCTGTTTTCTAGGATAATGTTGCTTGCTGTTAAAGCTGGCACCAAAAACAGAGACTGAGTCTCTACAGACACATGTAACTGGCTCAAACGTTGTTGAGTTGCAGCTTTGTACATATGTATGATCTCATGTCAGTAACATGCATCATGCCTGGTTATTCTAACTTTAATGTTATACCAGAGTCAGGGTAACGTTATTCTCTTAAATGTAACATTTTATTTAAAATATAAATGTAATGCGTTTACAAAGCAATTCGGCCATGTCACTGCAGCATGTTTTTCCATTAGTATCACATGATTAGAAAAGTTAAGCAGATGTAAGAGGATGTAGCCACAAAGCTGCCTCAACGTTTTAATAACTGTTCAAATTGTATTAAAATGGTCAACACAAAGGTAGCTCTCCACTCACCGTCAGGCCTGGTGGACCAACAGGACCAACCACTCCTGGATCTCCACAGCTCCCCTAAATGAAACACACACAACATCCGTCTGAGCGTACTCCTGAGGGTCATCTGTTACCCACATTCTCAGCTCTGATGCAGTTTTTGAAGATCAAGACAGGCACAAGGGTCATGGAGGGCACATCAGTGCATGGCTGCTATTTGCATTCATATAGCTGCACATGCTGCAAAGGAGATGAGTGAAGGTGAATATAAATCACACAGCACAGTGATTCATCACAATCCTCTCAGCCAGTCCCATTACTGTTCTCGTCCCTGTTAACCAGCTGTGCTAATCAGAGTAGCACATCACAAAAGTGTCTGACTAAATTTAGAGGACAGAGAGCTTTTCCAAGCACCAGTGCTGTCAGTGCCAATGTGGGAATTTGAGTATTACAAACACTGTGCTGCTTGCAAGCACTATTTTAATGCTGCAGCTGGTCGATATGGAGTTGATTGCGCTTACTTTTATGCCGTCTTCAATCGCAGAACTGAATTAGCTGAAAGAGCTTTTATGTGCTGCACCTTCTGTTTGGAAGCTTCACCAAGCAAAACTACAAAAGTTGCTTCCTTTTTAGGAGCCTTATGTTTTCTTAAGGATACAATGTGCATAATATATATGACTACATTTTCACATTCACTTCACATTGTCATCCTATATTTGAAGAAATAGAGAGAAGCGTGATATTCTAACCTTTCTCAGAATCTTACAGTTTCCTGGTCATGTTTGTGCTGAAAATGTTAATGTATAAGAGGTGTGTGCTGTAGGCATCGACAGTGGCTAACAATAACACTAGCTAACACTAATATTGCTTTCCCATTGCACCTCTACTATAGTAATCACTGCCACAACTGTGCTTGAGTACAGCACAGTAACAAATGAACTCAGTCATCTGTTTAGCTTGATTGATGAATTTAAACTTAATCTTAGACCTCGCGGTCACATCCACTGGTTTCAAGCAGAACAGTGATTTGGTTATAGTCGTCTAAGCGTTCACACGGTCACACTGTGACGAGTGAGAGACGGCTCAGACTTGTGCTGTTTGGCAGGGATTTCAAATAAAATTCAATCTTTAAGTTAACGTGTAAAAGTTCCTCTCAAGGATCAGTTACTACTTTAGAAACATGGCAGCACAACATATCTGGCTTTGTGACAGGAGAACTCAATAAATAGCTCATGCTCTGCATACTTACATCTATAACAACATGATTATGAATCTCAAACAATTCTACTAACAGATGCCCCTGAATCAATACAAATTAAGCAGACTGTCCAACCCCAGCTCCTCGTTTCTCATCACGTGTTCCTGGTATATTAAGAGGCCCTCGGAAGTTTCCAGGAATTTAATGGGGTGATGCGAAGGCAAGGAGGCCTTCACCTGCATTCACTGTGCATGTAAGCCTTTACAACAAATATACTGGGCTCAGTACAGACTGCTTTAATGATACAAGTCTAATCTCATTGACTAATGTCTATTTATGTTGCCTTACAGATAGGTTGGCATGACCACTTTATCAAGCAGCATTTTCCTGCTCAGCACAACAGCAAAGAGGCCTTTTTCACCTTGATATGCATGAAATCATCTTCTACCCCTCCTTTCCTTCCATCTTTGTGCCATGCATGCTGTGCTGAGTATACAAATTCGAAAGGGCTAGGAAATATGCATTTCAAGGTCAGAGAAATATGAACGTGTCCTCATGCCCCCTGTGCTGGTCTCTGTGAGGAGCCTCAGACTGATCTCATTTCTGAAGCTTTTTCACACAAGTTAAAAAAACAGTTTTTGATTTTGAACAATCTGGTTTGAATTTGTCTCTTTGAAACTATCCAACTTTACACAAGTGCAATAGCAATTAGGCTTGTGTAATTTGTGTATAAGCACCTAAATGAGTTCATAGTGTGAAGCCTAATTCTGCACAAATGCTTTTGCTGTAAAGAAATTTGAGTATCTGCACATTAAGAGTCAAAAGTATGAACCATCTTTGGCATTTATTCAGAAACATCTACACACTGATTGCAAACAGTTTGACTCCTGCTTAGAAAAATGCGCTTTTCTCCACGGGAACATCAAGAGGAGAGGAAGGGTGCAACATCAGAACGGGCTGAGAATAGCCAAGCGGCTGGGGAGTAGCAGGCCATTAGCATAATAACTAATTAAAAACATTCAACACACAGACCTTGGGACCATCTCGGCCAATCTCTCCAGGCGGCCCCCGGGGCCCTGGGGCTCCCTGGATGGAGACAAACATTAGGGGGAGGGGGAGCAGGATGGGGGTGAGAGAGCAAGGGAAGGAGGAGGAGAGAGAGAGAGAATGAGATGAAAGAGACAGACACAGCGCTTTGGGCTGAATGTGACAGAGTGCGTGACGGCTTAGTCAGGAGGCACTGAGGGAGAAATGAGATGGCTCAGGTCCACTCACACCAGGAACACACACACACACACACACAGGGCATCTACATTTGGACAGTGGTGTGCGTAAACACACACAGAGTTTGCATATTCAACAAAGCATTCTGCTGTATCAAGAGCGCAGCTTGAAGCTGTGTGTTAGCTGCTCTATCTTCCCACATGCCTTCACAACAGGAAAAAAACACAAATAAATTCTACTGTCCTGAAATATGCGAGACTGTAAGGGAGGAACAGGCAGCAGAGCTCTTTTATTAACAGTCAAGATAGGAAAAGGCAAAAAAAAACCCAATACACTTATCGCTGTTACTGCTGATTCGTGTGTCTGCAGATACAGGCTGCAGAAACGGAGCTGGAATTGATCTGTTTCTAACTCTGTTATGTGTTATGCTATTCCAGTAAATATCTGTTTATTGTCAAATAGAAATTTGATGTTTTACTTTGTATTATTTAAGTTTCTCCATATATTCTGGATCATCCATTGAATGTAAAAAGCAGTGATTGCACGTGGATATGCTGATGTCACAAAACCAACTCCCAAACTTTGGGATACTTTGTAAAATGCAAACATGATGGGTGCATTGGGGGTGATTTTAGTTATGTCGCAATCCGCATCCTACGTGGGCCATCAGCTGTCAGCTCAGAGTTACTGTGTGTTTGCAGACAAATGTGAAAATCTAGTGTCAACCCTGCAACTCTGCTCGCAACCAGAACAAGGAGGTTTTTGGTGCAGCACCTTCTGTGCAAAGATTTTGTCCAGCAAGCCAGCAACCTCCAAAACCAGTGCCCACCAGTCTGGGAATGACATTTTTCTTTTTGGAACATCTCAAATCTGGCCAGTGGGAAAGAATGCAGGCTTAAGGTACTTCACCTGTCACAACCAGAGGCTACCTGAATGTATTTACTTATCCAGCAAGTTGGAGGAAACACATGACTGTACATGATATATAAGGAGCCGAAGCACAAACAGGCACATTGGAAATGCCAAACATAATGGGTGTCAACTGGGTCAGCTAACAGTAAGTTTGAAATCTCTGTATATTTTATAATCACAAGAATGTATGTGGTTGCCTAGTTACAAGGGGTGGCTCATCCCGCCCACACACTTTCCTCCTCCCTCTTGACTCAGTGTGCGTGTATTTGTGTGTATATGTGTTGTGCGTGTCAGATAAGTCAGAGGCCCACTGCAGGCATAACGTCATAGCTGGGTTCTGTTGTACTGACACAAATAGGAAGAGGAGGATGAAGACTCAAAGATGAAGCTGGTGGTTGTGGAAAGGTGACCTTTGTGCAGCCTCACATTGTAGAGCAGTCTGCAAAAAACAGACCAATGCAGAAAATATCTGCCATTAATCTCATGTCTGATTCAGTTTTCTGCAGTGTAGATGTGTCCTTACGTCTCAGCACGATTCACTGAGACCCTCCCTCACTCCAGCTGTACTGTCCCACTCTGGCCATAGGAGGGTGACAAAGCTGTGAACAACGTGTCCAGCCATTATCACTGAGCAGCGTGTGCTCTCCAGGCTCTGCTGTAATTGCATTTCTGTGTGTGTAATCGTGTTTACCAGAGGGGGGGTCTCCATACTGTGTGTACAGCTATAACCCACAGCACATGCTGGTCTGACTTTTGGTCTACAGCAACAGGCACTTGCAGCTTTAATGATATTGCCAAATAAATCAGTGAATGGATTCATAAGGATCCGTGGCTAAATTAATGATCTCATTATGAGCTAACCACAGGGACGGCAGTGTTCTGGAGATGGCACACATAAAACTGCACAAAGACTCATTCTGAGTCCGAAATATTTTGTTTTGCAGACACATATGGTGAAAAAATGATGTTGGACACTGTGATTCTAAAAGTAGGAGCCCCTATAGACGAGAGAAAAGCTAAGACAAATGTTTTGCTGTGATTGCACTTTTACAAAGTAGCCTAAGGAACTATGTTCACTGTGGTATTAATATCTTAAACTCTGAGGTTTGCAACCCTATATTTTTAAAAGAACAGCAATAAGGTCTTTTTCTGTAAGAATACTAAACAGCTGTTGATGTGTGTCAGTTTAAATGATTAGAGCATTTATCCCCTAATTGCCAAAACTTTGGAGAATAATTTTATATATGATGTATCTCAGCGGTCCCCAACCTTTTTTGCACCATGGACCAGTTTATGCCCGACAATATTTTCACAGACCGGCCTTTAAGGTGTAGCGGATAAATACAACAAAATAAAACTAGTACCGGTACCGAAAAAAAGAAGATTTATTCATAACACACGTGAAAAGATCCAGGAAAACAGAGTCAACGAGAAAAACGATAACAAAATAACGCTGAAAACCGATAAAAACCCTGAAAACCAGACATTTCAGACCTGAGCCTCAACTCTCGCGACCAAACGACCGGTACCGGTCCGAGGCCCGGGGGTTGGGGACCGCTGGTGTATCTGACATCCTTGTGTTGGTGTTGTTCCTGCATCATTTTATTAACCACCAGGGTCAACATTGCAACTAACCAATCATGTTGTTGTTGCAATTTTGCGTGAGGAAAAAATGTGTTTATATAAAATTTACTTCTGCAACAAATGGTAAGCAATCAAGTTACTGTTGCAGGTTACATTTGTCATGCTGGTTTGCTAGTGATAGCTTTTAATAGCATTAGCTAGCTTGTTGGATAGCATTAGCTAGCTTCTGGGCTAATGCTAACTGAATACTCAGACAACTTGATTGATCAGTTGCAAAGTTGATCCAGTAGCCCATACGGAGAGGGTCATCACTGACCTTAACATGCATCAGGTTTCAAGTGAACATATTAAAGATAGCATTCAAGCTAACATCTACCCCTTTATAAGGAATTTTTGTGTATTTGGCGTATGCAATCAGAAATCTTAGAAGAGCTTTAAAGGCAGAATGCATGCAAGGGACTTTTTTTTAAAAGCTGTAGTCTCTGAAACCTTTTTATTTAACGTGGCTACCCTAATCATATCCCTCAGTGATTTATTGGGCGACCTGAGGGATGTTCATTAGTTAACAATGTCCTAATTTGCTGTGAATACTTGAAGAAACATTTTAAAAAGTGGAAGCAAATGAAAAGAGATGTCATACTAACCAGTGTTCCCTTTATTCCAGGGGGACCTTGTGGGCCAGGCAACCCCTTTTCACCCTAAATGCAAGAACACAAGAAATGAGTTAAGGTCACCAACTTGTGACACGAGTTAGTTTCAGAGTTTACCAGAGGTACCTGTTGACCTGGTTCACCAGGAGGTCCCCGCGCCCCCTGTGGATTACAATAACAGAAGGACATGATTACATAAAGCTGTATTTAGTCTTCAGCTCAGCTTCAGTGAACTGCATTTTATTTTTGTTCAAAACATTGACATGCAAAGCTAATGTGACAATGATGTAGTAACTGTCTACAGATGTCAAATAAAGATCGAGTTTATATTTGAAACTGTGAAACGGTGGGAGCCAGTGTCTGATGATGAAATATGGGCTTTGTTATGACAGTTTTCTAAATAATTCCACTGCTGCTTCACTAAATATGTAAATTGTATAGAGGACATATATATTGCTCCAAATGTTCCTGTATTCTCACCATCTTAGTGATTCATCATCACTGGCTTTGAAAGTTTAGCTTGAAAATCGTGTGTCATCAGAAAGAGCAGCTGACAGAACGTTCGCCTTGAGCTCCGTCTGTTACTCTTTTTGTTAAAGCCTTTGCAGAATGAGCGAGAGCTCCAGACCGAGCGGGCGAACAGATCTTGAATAGAGAACTTTTTTTGTAAACTGCTGTTTCAGAGATCAAACGTAAGCTGTCCAGCTCAAATAAGGTTCTGCTGTTGTCACTACAGCTGTCTGCATATGCAGGAGGCAACTGTTCACGTTCCAGCATTCAAGCATTCAGCTCACGGTGGTGTTCATCTTCCACTACAGCTAACAGTGGTGGTTCTTGGATTCTGCTTGGAAAAACTTTGTAGATATAATAATTTAACCTGATTGAGGTAATTATCACTAGGTGGTTATGTTACACAATGCTCTGATTAAAGAGATGCAGAATTATTGAAGCACTGACTTCCCACCTGTTAACTGTACACTGGTGTATCAGCATACTTTGGATTCCCAGTGTGAATCTTTACTGATGCAGATAAATTAGTTGTGGTTGTGTAAGTGTGAAATAGAGTCAGCTGTGTAAAATAAGGCTGATAAATGTGGACACAGGCAGGTGTGTGACATACAGGCTTTGATTCAGAGACAACATCAGGGCCATCTCATCAAAAACACATCCTGTTTGCTTCCTGTCGTCTTTCCTAATCTTTCTACGTGGAAGTGTTTTAGTTTTCAGCAACTGGTTTAACTCTTTCCCCGATAAAGACCACATTAGACAATAACTTTAACAGGCATTCAAGAGGGAAAGAGTTAAGGTACCACTAAGATGGCCAGGGAGACAACAAGTACTCTAACCTTAAAACCAATACATAAACACAAAGAGTGAAGCGGGTCCTGCATTAGAACATTCATCATTCTCATCCATCTTTCAACAATGCCGCGAGCCTGAAACACCATCATACTTTCACCTTGAGGTGAGCAGAGGGCCAAACAGGGAAAGGGTGGAATGACAGATGGACTGAGAGACAAGAAAAGTGCTGCAGCACAAACAGCTTTGATATATCGCAGGTGCACAGAGATTAGATTCATATGTTAGTAACCACAGCTCTAATCTCACAGCTGGAACAGGAAAAACAAGCCGATACCACATAGAGACGTGTTGGAGAATCACGCCTAACTTGCAGCATGGTATCGCACTCGTTTCCTCAAGGATAGCATCGATTTCAGTGTTGTACCAAGTTCTGTTTCAGATGAACCTTTATGATGGAGACATTCATGTTTTTGTACTTGACAGGTCTTCCTTTGATTAAAGGTCAAACACTGGGTGCAACAGTACTGCCTGTACTTGCATATCGCTCTGTAAATATATGAATAAAATGAATGAATATCATTTTAGAACAGACGTTGGCATCTAGAAAAGGACCTAAAGCTGGATTCTGGGGTAGTGGAGCTGAGTAACACCGACAGTCAGGTCACCAAACTAGGAGGATGAGTTTGGTGAATCAGGAGGAGGAGAGTGAAGCACGTTACTCTTTAACTGTTGACCTGATGGTTGGTTAGCAGAACTATTTCTTATTAGGAGCCAGATTCATTTAAGCATGTGACAAATTACTTTGCTTTTGACTTCACATGACTTCACATTCTGACCACACAGAAGCTCAGAGAAGCTTTGCATGTCTAATAAAGAGTTTTTAGCAAAGTTCCAATAAATTTTAATGAAAGCATCCTATAACTCACAAACAATCCTATTTATTCAGCCAAAGAAGACTAAAGAAAATCACCTTGAGCCCAGCTGTCATCACTAAAGATCTTATGCCAAAATACAAACAAAGGCTGAAACAGGAAGTTCCGGTTCAGAGGAAGGTCGCGCGCTGGACGGACCAATCGGTGGCCGCGTTACAGGACGCACTCGATGACGCAGACTGGGGCATGTTCAGAAACAGCTCCGACGATGACGTCAACGTGTTTACGGAAGCGGTTGTGGGATTCATCGGGAAACTAGCGGATGATACCGTGGAGACAAAGACTATCACAACGTTTCCCAACCAGAAGCCGTGGGTGGATAAAACCATCCGCGACGCTCTGAGATCCCGCACCGCTGCCTACAACACGGGACTCATGACGGGGGACATGGACCCGTACAAAGCCGCGTCATATAACGTGCGGAGGGCGGTGAAAGAGGCGAAGCAGCGCTACGGGAGGAAACTAGAGTCACAACTCCAACAGAGTGACTCTAGGAGCCTGTGGCGGGGACTAAGGACAATAACGGACTATAAAGCACCAACAACCGGTATGACGAACGCGGCCGTGACTCTGGCAGACGAGCTGAACACTTTCTATGCTCGCTTCGAGGCTGCAGCTAAGGCTCCAACAATGCTAGTGTTAGCGGCGCTAACGGCTGCAGACAGGAAGATACTGCCAGCACCGGAAACGTGCTCGTCATCTCCGAGCATGAAGTAAGGAGAGCCTTCAAGAGAGTGAACACCAGGAAAGCAGCAGGACCAGACGGCATCCCAGGTCGTATCCTCAGAGACTGCGCATACCAGCTAGCTCCTGTGTTCACTGAGATATTCAACATCTCTTTATCTCAGTCGGTGATCCCCACATGCTTCAAAGAGTCCATCATTGTTCCTGTCCCGAAGAAACCCCACCCTGCTTCTCTCAATGACTATCGCCCTGTAGCCCTCACCTCAGTAGTGATGAAGTGCTTTGAACGCCTGGTCAGAGACTTCATCATTTCTTCACTACCAGACACACTGGACCCACTACAGTTCGCTTACCGTCCAAATCGTTCCACAGACGATGCCATCTCTCATCTCCTCCACACATCACTCACTCACTTGGACACTAGAAGGGGGAATTATGTTAAAATGCTCTTCATAGACTACAGCTCTGCATTTAACACCATAATTCCCTCCACACTCACCACCAAGCTGGAGCATCTGGGACTCAGCTCATCTATGTGTCAGTGGTCTCCAACTTCCTAACTGGCAGACCACAGGCAGTAAGGATGGGCGGACATGTCTCAGCCTCCACCACTCTCAGCACTGGAGCCCCCCAGGGGTGTGTTCTGAGCCCCCTGCTGTACTCTTTGTACACATATGACTGTGTGGCCACTACCAGCTCCACCACCATCATCAAGTTTGCTGACGACACCGTCGTGGTGGGCCTGATCTCTGATAACAACGAGACGGCCTACCTGAAGGAGATTAGGAATCTGGAGAACTGGTGCCAGAGGAACAACCTCCTTCTAAACGTCAGTAAGACAAAGGAGCTGATAGTGGACTTCAGCACTAAGCAGGAGAGGAACTACCAGACCCCCGTCATCAACGAGTGCCCAGTGGAGAGAGTGGACAGCTTCAAATACCTCGGAGTTCACATCACGCAGGACCTGTCATGGTCCTGTCACATCAACACCGTGGTGAAAAAGGCCCGTCAGCGTCTCTACCACCTCAGACGCTTGAGAGACTTCCAACTGCCCTCCAAGGTGCTCAGGAACTTTTACTCGTGCACCATAGAGAGCATCCTGGCGGGAAACATCTTAACCTGGTTCGGGAACAGCACCATGCAGGACAGACGAGCTCTACAGAGGGTTGTGCGGTCAGCTGAGCGCACCATCCGCTCCGAGCTCCCTGACCTGCACTCAATCTACAGCAGGCGGTGCTGGACCAAGGCCAGGAAGATGGTGAAGGACCTCAGCCATCCCAACAACAGACTGTTCTCTCTGTTGAGGTCAGGAAAGCGATTCCGCTCCCTGAAGACCAACACAGAGAGACTGAGGAGGAGCTTCTTCCCCAGGCGATACGGTCTCTCAATCACACCACCACACAGTACTGACCCACACATATGGTTCTTACACACACACTGGACTTTCTGGACTTTGTTTTTGCACAACACTGGTCACTATATTCTTCATTTCCGGTTAATACTTGTACAGCTGCTGTTATTGTGTATATATTTATTTATATTTAGATTTCTTCATACATTCTTATATAGTTCTATATTGTGTATTTTGTTGTACAGTTATTTTATTTTCAACTTTAATTTATATATTTTATCTTATTCTCCCAGTTAAATTTACCCTTCATTCTAATTTGTGTTGTACAGTTATTTCATTTTTAACCTTAATTTATATTTTATTCCTTCCTAGTTAAATTTACCCTTTTTAATTTTTCATATTTATTTCCTATCTTATTCATAGCCTTTTCCTTTTTTGTTTTCTTTAGGTCACGAGCAGTTGTCCAAGCATTTCACTACATATCGTACTGTGTATGACTGTGTACGTGACAAATAAAATTTGAATTTGAATTTGAATTTGAATTTGAATGTGTCTATAGCTAGGACTGTGTGGTAATCAGACAGCTTAACATGGACATGGAGACAGTTCTGTGCAGGACCTCTGTTACAAGGCCATAACTACTGGGACAACACAGCATGGTAAAACTACTTACAATAATAAAACCTACATTCACCAGCCTTGCATGTGTAAACCCGCTTGATCGGAAAGAGAGGGTTTGGCTTTGGGAAGCAGTGGGGAGCTGTTCAGCACGCGATACTGCCTGCAGTGTGCGCTCACTTGTAAATGTGGGTATCCACTGCAATAGACTTTTTTGCAAGCAATGCATCAGCAAAATGCTACTTGGTGTCTGGATATCAGCACTGGCAGCTGTGGAAAAACTAGCTTCACACTTTGTGTGTATATGTGTCCTGTTAAAAAGTGGAAGTGTGTGTGGTTGTGGGGTGTGGCAGTGATGAGTTTTACCACTCATTTACATTTACAGACGTAGGATGTAGAAGTGCAAACATGAGGGGCTACAGGATGTTACAGCAGCCTGAGATTGTTTTCAAGTAAACTTGTAAACTTCCCATATAAATAAACCCGGGTGTATTTCTGTCTTCCTCACTGCCTCATATAAAAGTATATTCAAGCTACAAACACGCCCAATTTGTAAATTAGTACTACATGGTAATCCATTACACCTAACTCTGCAATACAGTCACTAAAGTCCATAAAATGGCAGTAAGATTGTTTGTATGTGTGTTTCTGTTGGCTCTAAAATGAAAATAAAAAGGGCTCATTCTGGTGTTTCGCTGTTGTGGAGCTGGAATTTATATTTAATACATGGATTTGAGCAAGTAGAAAAAAAACGTTTAAAGAAAAAAGCTCAAAGGGCGATGTACGCCGGCTTTAATTCGGAAATATGGCTCAAGCTTCAAAAAACCTGGCTCCCATAGGAGACTGCTGCATGAAACAGACAGCAAACAACACAAGCACGCATGAAATATGCACCTTAGTAAGTATAAATCTAAATGATGTGTTATAAAACAAACATGTATAAACAGAATTTGGGGTGAAAATATGAATAAAGTGCTGTAAACCAGCATTCTTTCTAATTAGCAAAAGGGGCCAAAGCAGCAGCTGAAAGTGGACTTTTCATTTTTCATTTGTTCGTGAGAGATGACCCACAGCTCCTTGGATCGCCGACCTCAGTGAACACTGTTCTGATGTCTTTCTGGGCTCAAGTACTAATTTCATGTTCTTTTTCACATCTTGGCCATTAGCAGAGCCAGAAAGGAGCAGACAGTTGTTTCGCGCCTTGCTTCTCATGTCGAACAAATATGTGTATATATATATATATTAAGTATATTAATAATAATATATATATATATATATATACAAATATATATATATATATATATATAAATATAATATTATATATTTGTAAATATAATTGTAATATATATATATTATATATATATTTAATATATATATATAATATATATATATATATATATATAATACACATATTTGTTCGTATTACATAATATGATAAACTAACCATATATATACATATATAATATACTATATACATTATATATATAATATATATATAATATATATATATATATATATATATATATATATATTAGGGGTGCAACGATACTCGTATCGATATTGAACCGTTCGATACAGTGCTTTCGGTTCGGTACGCATATGTATCGAACAATACAAAATTTTAATTTATTTTATCAACTTTCCTTCTGACGATGCTGTCTGTGTTGAGCGCTCAGTGGATCTGCAGCTCGACAGTGCAGCCTAGGCGGAGTAGTCGAACGCAGATTCACTGAGCGCAGGGCAAGCTAGCGAGACAGAAGTTAAGCTCTCCTTGCAACATGGCAAATTGAACCTCCCCCACCCTCATTCAGATCTGGCGTTTGGAACTATTTTGGTTTTCATGTGACGTATGACCCTGAAGGTAAGCGTCATGGACTAAAGTAAAACAGTATGTTGGATGTGCCACGCAATGCTCAATTACATGGGTGGGAGCTAGTGTCGTTAGCGCAGTTAGCTCGTTAACGTGTTGGCCGTCCAGCCCCACGCACGGGGCGATCCGGGTAGCTCGTTAACGGAGATTTGCCGTGTTGTGGCGTTAACGTCATTTCACGAGTTAACGCTGACAGCACTAGTGGGAACACAACGAATATGACTGCACATTTACGCCGACATCATCCTAGTGCAAAGACAAGTGGAAGCAGACAAAAACAACAAGCATGCTACAAACTTTACCCGAGTCATTTAGACAGCCGTTAGCACATGATTCTCCTTATGGGGACCTGATATGTTTAATATGCTGCTGAGAATATAGCCCAGAAGAAGCGTATAGTATAGCTTTTATTTTGGAAAGAGCACATTTCTCTGTAATAAACTCTCTTTTCCAAAGATGAGTGATTCCTCAATCAGATACAGGGCTCGCAAAATCGCTAGCCCGACGTCCCGGGGCTAGCGATTTTTCCAGTCGGGCTACCAAAATCTATCTCTGCCCTGCCCGTCGGGCTATTGTAGGAAGGAAAAATATATGTCAATGCTTTTGCATTCTTTCAGAAATGTAGCTGGGTAATTATGTCATTGGCATCGGTGAGCCACTGTCAATATGTGACATATTGAAATCGCGTTTGAATTTGCGCTTGTTTTTTGCTTTCACTTTGCAATCGTGCGAACTGTGTATAGAGAGCGACAGCACTGATCTGTGAGTGATGATCAATTTGTGCACCAATTCCTCTGACATCGTCTTATTAATCGTTAGCTTACTATGCAAACATGACAAGTGAAATCTCCCGCAGCTTAAACATGTGAGAGGTTGATCGCGCAGAGAATCGCTGAGCTTATGTGAGTGCGTGTGTAAAAGCAGCAGGATATATATTTCAGTTCTGCTGAGCCAAATAAGACAGGTCAGGGTGAAGAAGTGACAGCCAAAGAAAAGCTTACCACAAAACGGAGAAGTTATGACAAATCAGACTATAAGGCAAAAAGAAAGTGCAGCTTTATGGTTTCATGGACAAAATATTTCTGTGGCTGCAATATGACGAGCTAAATAACCAGGGCTGCACATAAGTGGTCCGCAGGTGCGCATTCGCTGTCAAAATAAAAAACGCGCACAAGATAAGAAGTTGCAACGCGTGTTTGCGTACATAAGATTTTCAGGAGGAGGACATTTGTTTAGAACTCTTAAAGATGTGAAGAAGCTCCTTTAAGCAATTACTTTGGTGTTCCTCCACCTCCAAAGAAATGTCAGAAGGAGTCCGAACCACAAAAGAAGCACGTATTCTCGGAAAAGTGGTTGCAGGAGGTGAGCTGGCTTCAAACAAATGATGAACGCACAGAGATGTGGTGCGGAATGTGCCGTGAAAATTTAATAAATGACAAATTAAAAAGGCATGAACGTTTTTTTTGTATCGAAAAAATATCGAACCGTGACACCAAAGTATCGAACCGAACCGTGAATTTTGTGTATCGTTGCACCCCTAATATATATATATATATAATGCTGGAACACTTTTCTGACTCAGTTTGTAAGTGAAGCTCAAGGTATTTTCTGAAGCTGCGTCAAATCTAACCTTCAATTTGTTGTAAAAAATGATCGATTCTGTTGAGTTTAACTGATTCTTTTACACAAGAGTTTGTATCCAGGATGGACTGCTCGATGAGAAATATTCAACATTAATCAATGAGATGCAGTAAATCTGTTCGGTAAGTAGATAAAAGACTTTTTATTGGGAGAAAGTGACTTCCACAATGAAGTGACTGCCCCCGTAAAATAGATGAGTAACCTGACTGCTCCCTGTTCAAGCACAGAGCTTTAAAACAGCTTTTACCATCTCCTGTTTCCTGGTGTGTGTGTGTGTGTGTAGGTGTGTGTTTGTGTATGTGTGTGTTTACTAGCAGCGTTTAAAGGCTGCAATTAATTTCAGCTCTCGTATTAATGTCCTGATTCCACTTTCCTTCAAAACTTTACGTGTCAGTTTAAAATCAACAACAGCACTGAGTTAACTGTTTATGTACAAATACATATTAATGCATGAAATCATTATCAACTCACCGGGGCACCTTGAGCTCCAGCAGCACCAGTTGGCCCAGTATCACCCTTCTCTCCCTGTGGACACATCAGACATGTCAGTACCTTCCAGCTTGGAAGTATCCAGACATTAACTGGATACCGCCTCATCCTGAAGTCTACAGTCCTGACAAAAAATGCATCAAACTTGTAGCCTAAACAAAAATAATGTATTCCAGCGCTTCCAGCCTGCAAACACAGGAGATATACTGTTTCACCTAAACATCAGGACTTCATAGCACCTGGAAAATAACGTTGACGTGTAGAATCTGTGGAATCCCCGTTTAAGAAGAGCAACCAGTCATGAAAGATGTCTGTCTAGCTTGCATCTTCATAAAAGTATCTGCTTTTGTATTTTATGTAAGCTCCACAAAGAGAAATTATATGTATCTGTGCCACTTGAGTGTGAGAGAACTGCTGGGAATTGTTATGTCGTGGTAGCGGCTCTGTATTGACGCACTTGTGCAGCGTGTCCTGTGGCGAGATCTCGCACTGAGCCCACTTCTTGTTAAAACAAAAATATAAGGCAACAAACAAACACATTTGTAAACCACAACACAACGTGCATATAAAGACAGCAAAGTCCTCCGAGACCACTCTATACCGTGTTTGTTGACTGTGTGGTATGTGAACTGGTTCCAGCGTGGACCGCTCTAATACACTGGCAACGGCAATGAACATGCGAAACAAGCTGTAAAATGTATTCTGGTGCTGCAGGCCAGTCATTTGTGAAGATTTGACGCTGCTTTGCCTGATGAGCAAATGTATGAGAAAAGAATTTTTCAGATTTTTAAAAGAGCAAAAAAAGATTATGAAACCCAAATGTACTAAAAGCTTTTCTTCAGCCTTTGGTTCGATGTTATGAGTGTGTTTGAGTGCTTTGATGTTACTTGAATCCAGTGAACATCATATTAAAAACTGATGGTTTCCTCTTTCTCATACATATTCTCTTTTTTCCTGCACAATGTATTTTGTTCATCTACACACAAAGATCTTACTGTAGGCCTTCTTCTTTTGAAATTGGTTACAAATAAACACTTTAGTTTTATACAAGTGTGCACACTGTGTGTTTACTGTGTGAGACCAGTGCATGTGTTGGGGAGGGCTCCAGCAGTGGATTGGTGCTCTAATACCGGACAGTATGCAGAAACATAAACTGTATTTCGATGGTAGTTGTTCTCTTTTGTTCCACTGTTTCTGTCAGTGTGACTTTTTCTTCTTTGTATCCTGGGCTCGTGGTTTTGTTTCTTTCCTCTGTGGATTTCCTGTTGTGCATCTGCAGCACCTTTTGTTCACAAAGTAAGTTTTGCTAAAGATTTTTTTTTAGGTTTCACTTGATAGAAAAAAATCTTAAACAGCAAAGGATAAACAAAAAGAGAAAATGATTGGCACCAACTATGTGAGTTTGAAAAATATGCACCTCCAGTCATGTTAAATAACAAAGCACCCTTCTTTAAACTTGTCACAACATAATAAGAAAAAGTAACCTGGCACTTGGCAGGTACAACCTCAGAAGAACTACAAAGTATGACATATTACTCCATGTCATTTTTTCTCTGCCAAAAATTAGACCACAATGTGGAAGCGCTGTGTGAAAAACTAAGTACATTATAGAAATGAAGAAGCAGCCAGGTGCCTCTAACCAGATCAAATCAGCGAGGAGGACCACCTTTATAAAAGCACAAGTTTTGCTGTTTGCAGTATACAAAACAAAACATACTGACAATTCGTCACGGCCCGAGACGTGTCACAGTAACGCGAAAGGTGCCCTTCCACATTACGAGACGCTCCGGATTCTTAATTGAAGCTCTTCCCCTGTTATTCACTTAGCAGCTTTCTATTACAGCCCTAACCCTAACCTTACATTTATAGATCCCTTCTAATACGCTCTCATGCCTCGGATCATACCGACGATTTGTCACATAGCGTCGGTATGTTGCATGTTGGGATGAGAACGTGGGGAGAATTCAGGCATACCACAGAGGAAAGACGAGATGTTACTGTGGCTGCACGTCCGTCTGCGTGGGGATATAAGTCCATTTCCCAACAGTTTGATTTCCATCATTCGACAGCGAGAACGTGGCAAACATTCTTGACAGCTGCCAGTCTTCTCAGGAGTAGATGTTCCAGTAAATTCACCCCAAGGCCAGACTGTGCAATGCTTGGAAAAACTGCAACAAACCCAAGAGCAAACTGAAGCATGAGTGACCTTTTCAATAATACGTTAGCTATAAAGAAAAAGGATTTGATGTCAGCTGTCTGCTGCAGATGAAGAAAACAACGTGTCTGCATCATCCGAACAGTGAAAGAAGGGTGAGCACTTAAAGTGAGCCTGACAGTAAACTGCAGCGCTCGCACTTAATAATAGATGACCAACTAAAATCCTAAATGAAGCTAACAATAGCATTAGCATCCCCGGAGCAGCCTCAGTTGTCAGATTAGATTCTTGCTCTTGGAAATAAATTATAACATCTTCGAATATTTATACCGATAAGCCAAAACCTTCTGAGCATTTTGTAACGAGGGCCCGTTTCAAAGTCTGGGATATATTAGCTGAGGGGTCGGCTCAGAAGAAACGGGCAGGTGTAAAAACCAAAGTCATTTGGAGAAGAGCCAAAGTGATACAGCCAGACGACTGAATCGGAGCATTTCAGAAGTGCTTGTGCGGTCAGCCTGATCCACAAAGGACACTGAGGTCAGTCAGAGTCAACAGATGTGCGACAACAGCAGCATGTTAACAACAGTGGAAATAATTTACTGTACAGCATTCACTGTAGCCCTAAGCGGAAACAGCTAACAAATATCTATCTTTTTTTATACAGACCTTTAAAGGACAGTTGTATTACCTTAGTAACCAGCTGACCATCTAATCTAATTAAATAAATTACATTTATTTCTACAAAGAGCTGCACAGGCGCCTAAAAATCATTTCGAGGATGCTTTGCTATATTCCATCATATTTATGCAACCTTTATTCAATCTTCTCACCTAGCACCTAATTGCTTGTTTGTTTGGTCCTAAAATATCTTTTCCTTTTCCAGTTACAAAGAAAGTCCTGTGCAGGGATGATCGCTGACATATTAAGCCAGGCCTTCTTGTTAACCTCAGCTCAGCAGCGCCTAACTTCAGACCTGGGTACTCTGCGGGGCTTCAAGTATGACAGTTTGAGGTGTGAAACATTTCTCTGGTGTTCGAGCTCTGTGCTGAACACAGAGGTTACCGGGTCCCTAAGATACAGTATATTTTGAGTGCACGGTTATGAAAGTTGGCAGTGAGGAAACAACTGAATTAGCTCTCTGTTGCATCTGTTTTCTTTTGAAGTGTCTCGCCGCACTACGCACATAAACCCATAAGAGCAGCAGACCTCATAATTACACAGCCAAGACGCCCACCACAGCCCAATAAATGACAAGATGACATAAATCTCTGGGTGTCTAGAACAAGAGAAAATAGACAACACACAGAGGCTGGCCTGACACGGTCCTTTTATGTAAGCACACTAATCCGGCACTTCACCCTGCCTCCCGCTGTTAAAGACTGAAGAGCCAGTGACAAGTTGATATCTCTGAGCTAAACCGAACTTAGACACATAATATTTGTAGATTTGAAAGAAAAAGTCTGTAAGAGATAAAGGCAGCAGCACAAGAATGTAAGAACACGCTGTGCACATCTTTTTATGGGAGAGGATCACTGAGGGCTGGGGGTGGGTAGAAGCCCAAAACGTAGTGGTGATGTACTTCAAGCAACAACAGGAGCTGGTGAATGAACGAGGGAAAGATGTGACTGAAGTCTTGATTGGCCAGCTGATCTGCATGTCAAACATAACCAATGATCGTGAGCAGTTTGAGCAGTTTGAGCATCTGACCAGCACCTTGGTACTGCTTCAAAGTACGGAGCATAACCAGATTACAGGCATTCTGGCCTGAAACTCCTTCTGAAATGCACTAGGAAGGCCTGGGAGGAGCAGCTAGAAACAGTTTACCTGGAGGGTCAACTACTGATCCTTTCTGTTAAAAGGTTCCAGTTGAAGTAATTTTATCTGATAAGGATTCCTCCTGACTTCCCTTTAGTGATTTCCTGAGCACATCCAACTGAATGGAGACCATGCAGCATAACCAGAAAATGCTGGTATGATTGCATATCCCGGGAATGCTCCGGGATCCCCCATGATGCTCTTGGGAAGCCTTTCATGTTGTATCAGATGTTCCCCTGCTGATGCACACAGTAGTAATAACAGATTTAGAGCTATCTGGATCTTTCTCCAAACCCTCAACCACCCGTTGTTGTACTGGAGAGAATTCAACAACGAGCAGCCTCACCAGGTGCAGCTCATTGCTTGTTGGCTTTCCCTATCATACGTCTTACACTAAAAGGCAACTGTAGTTGTAAGGTAGCAGAGTGTATATGAAACTGTACTGACAATCTCTAAAAGTACAGGAATTTTCAAATCTGGACCAATAACAAAGCTAAAACTACTTGTATGGCCAGATACCAGTAGGTTAGCTAAGATAACAGTTCATCAGCTTTGTAGCTGCAAACTGAAAAAACCCAAGAGTTGGGATGAATGATTAGTGGCTACTTTATTCCAGAAAGCATTTCCACTTGCATATTCTCAAAGTTGGTGGAGTCTAAATATTCTGTATAAGGGAAGCATCTCATTTTCCTTAAATGAGTAAACAGCACCCATACTCCCCATATTTACCACAATTAATCACCTCATTAAACAGCTTAATGTGTGAGTTACAACAGTTCGGTATCGTTGAGGAGGTATTTAACTGTGTAGCAACATGTGAGGACTTCTTTCAGTCACACTGGGGTAGTGTAGTTTGTTTCCTACAGACTTTGGTAGCTGACTGTAGTAAAGTAAACACTGATTAGCAAGCTGCACGGCTATTTCCCACAAACACAGATACTTGTTTATTAGTGCTAAGTAGTGCAGCAAACTTAGCAAAACTGAAGCAGAAACTTCTTGGACAGTCTGTGAGATAATGTCATTAGAAATGCTCCAAAAGCCACCAACCCAGCCGAGGCTTCACTTA